CCCTTGATATTTCAAGTGGTGTGTAGCGATTCGCGATTGTGAGTGTCCCCACTTTGCATTGCAGGTTTCGCGGGTTTTGGCATGAAGCACACCCAAACTCTTGGCAGGTTCCCTGGTTGTCTTGTTTTAAAGTATTCGGTATTATGAATGGGTTGGGGCCCCTGGTCTCGGTCCACTCAGAGGTCGCTCTCCCCAGGAGTGCCCAGCCCCACTTCGAGGGGGATAAAAGAGGGGTGAGGGCTTTCCCGCTATTGTTTCGGGGCAGCCCGCTTTCGGGGAGGGGTCAGACCCATGTCAGGGTCAGACCTGTGTCGGGGGTCAGACCCGTGGTGGGGGCAGACCTGTGGTGGGGGCAGACCCGTGTCATGGGGGAGGGGGCAGACCCGTGGGGGGCAGACCTGTGTTGAGGGCAGCAAACCCGTGTCAGGGTCAGACCTGTGTCAGGGGTCAGACCCATGTTGGGGAGGCAGCAGACCCGTGGGGAGGGGGCAGAGCCGTGGAGTGGGGGCAGACCCGTGTTGGGGGGGCGGACCCGTGTCGGGGGGCAGACCCGTGTCGGGGGGCAGACCCGTGCCGGGGGGCAGACCCGTGCCGGGGGGCAGTGGGCCGGCCCCGCTCACCTGATGTTGCTCTCATTCTCTGACTCTGGGTGGTCCTCCCACTTGCTGGCGGAGGTCCTGTTCATGTACAGCCACTGCTGCTGCGTGGGCCGCGGGTACGCCTCGTACTGCACCACCAAGTCCACGTTTTCTCCGTCGTTGACAAACATGGTGGTGTTGGTCACCGAGAAGACCCGGATGAAGCCTTTATCTAATGGGGACAGCGGCGGGCAGAAACACAGCGTCAGCCGCAGCTCCGCGACCGAAACACGAGGCTCCGGAGCCACGGGGGCCGGCGGCTGGCGAAGCCAGGGCACCTGCAGGCAGTCAGGCGACGTCCCCTTCCGTTCTTATAAAATCACCGCCACCAAGCAAGAACGCACGCAGCCCGGCCAAGCACCCGTGTCTCCCGCGGCCCCCACACATCCACCCCTCCCTTAAACGTCTCTTAAACCGACTGCTCGCGATATTCATGGAATTAAACCCAACAGCCCGCAGCCAGAGCCGACAGAACCGTGTGTGCAAGAAGCTGCCACGAAGGAAAGACAAGAGGCCGGGCTACTGCGGACACTGGACGGCTGCCTCTCAGTGTTGAAGAAGACTTGAGCTCTCTCCTCCCACTGTCACAGGTAAACCACAGATAGCAACTTAAAAGTTGCATTTTTTTTAATTTATTTGATAGATCGAGTTATAGACAGTGAGAGAGAGACAGAGAGAAAGGTCTTCCTTCCGTTGGTTCACCCCCCAAAATGGCCACCACGGCTGGAGCTGTGCCGATCAACAGCCAGGAGCCAGGTGCTTCCTCCTGGTCTCCCATGCGGGTGCAGGGCCCAAGGACTTGGGCCATCCTCCACTGCACTCCCTGGCCACAGCAGAGAGCTGGCCTGGAAGAGGGGCAACCGGGACAGAATCCAGCACCCCGACCGGGACTAGAACCCGGGGTGACGGTGCTGCAAGGCAGAGGATTAACCTATTGAGCCGCGGCGCCGGCAGTGTTTCATTTTTTATCTGAGAGAGAGACAGACAGACAGGAGAGCTCTCATCACTGGTTCACTCCTCAGCTGCCTGCGCCAGCTGGGGCTGACCAGGCCAGAACCAGCAGCAGGAACTCGGTGCAGGTCTCTCTCAGCTCCCTGGGCCACCACTGCCGCCTCTGAGGGTGTGCGTGGGCAGGGAGCGGGAATCGGAGCAGTCAGGACTCGAACCCAGGCGCTCTGATACGAGACGCAGGCAGCCCAGCAGGCATCCACGCCTGGCACAACTCTCTTAGACAGCAAACAGCGCCGGCCCCAGCAGCAGAGAATTTTGAAATCCCACTTCTTTTACTGAATCCTGTCGTTTCTGTGTGAGAACTCTTAGGATAGAGCGTGATCTAGACTAACCGTAAGCATTTTAAAAGTAATGAAAGAGAGGGCCAGTGCTGCGGCGCGCTGGGTTAAGCCGCCTCCTACAAGGCCAGCATCCTTTATGGGCACCAGTTGGGAGTCCCGGCTGCTTCACTTCCTGTCCAGCTCCCTGCTAGTGCTCCTGGAAAAGCAGCAGCAGATGGCCCGCATGCTTGGGCCCCTGCACCCACAAGAGACCCGGATGGAGCCCCTGGCTTTGGCCTGGCCCAGCCCAGGCTGTTGCAGCCATGTGAGGAGGGAACCAGTGGATGGAAGACCTCTCTCTCTCTCTCTCTGCCTCTCCTCCTTCTGTGTAACTCTGACTCTAAAGTAAAATAAATCTTTAAAAAATAAAAATAAAAAATAGCTCCAGCTTCTCAAAGTCATAAATTCCAAGACAATCCCCAATGCAAATATTTCAGACAGCAGCGTCCGCCCTGAAATGATTTCTCACCATCACCGCACAAGACACAGGGCCTGCTGCGTTTTCTGCGTCTCGTCTGCTTCCTGTGGCTGGCGTCCCGCAGGGAAGCCTCCGAGAACGACCAGGCCTCCACCAGGGCGACTGAGGTGGGGGGACCAGAGCACCCACTGGGGTCTCCACTCTTGCTCGGAGAACACAGCAGGGCTACAGCAGGGCCACAGCAAGCGCCCGGGGCCAGGGCCCCGCCTCGAAACCAGGTCAGAGCTGAGCTGCCGAGGCCTCAAAACAAACCCGAAGCAGGTACCCCCGGGAGAAACCACAGAGGTCAACTGGCCTCACTCCGGGTTTGCAGGCCTCAAGTACCCACAATTTTCTCTAAAGGCAACAAACAAACACGCAGGTGCGGCCGCCACCTCCCTCTCTCCACCCGCCCCGCCCACGTCTCGTCCAAATCCCTGCCCGGCCTCTCAACGTCTCTTCCCGCTCCTGGCCCGCCACAGCCCGGATTCAGATTTCACGGCTGCCAGCCCTGCCAGGCACGCGGCTATAATTCTTGGAAACTGAAGAATGGATTTTAAAAATCCGATTACGTACAGCGATGTGCTCAAAACAGTCTTGCTAATTGCTTTCCTGGAGTTGACGCTGATCTATCAACAAGCTCCCTAATCAACTTAGCAAATTAGCGCTTATGGAGCTTAATATTTTAAAAGCACAGCCTTCCATTGCAATTAATAAATGGCTCGCGATCACGCGGAGGGACGGGCAGGACGCGTTCCCGCTGCTCCTGGGACGGCGAGGAAGGGGTCTCTGCACGTTCAGACCCGGGGTCGGGGACAGCTCCCGCTCTGCTCTGACCCGGGCAGAAGCCCGGAGCCATTCGGGGATCATGGCGGGGCAGAGCGGGCTCCAACCCTGCCCGGGGCACGAGGCACCCCCGTGGGGAGGGGGCGGGGCGGGGAGAACACAGACACTGCTTCCTGTCGTCCCTGCTGCACAGGGCGAGTTTCTCCTTCTGAGCCCTGCGGCCCGGTCAACAACTAAGAACCAGGTTGGGTCAGCAGGACAGGACGACACTCAAAGAAAAACAGGTCAAAGAGGCCATTTCGAAGCAATTATTCTCATTCTCTGCACATCAGCCGAGGAAAACACTGAGGGAGGCCCCCAGGGCTGATGTGCGGTAGGGGACCCCGTCTGCGCCCTGGGCTGCACCCCGGGGGCTCCCTGCTTCAAGGGTGCCGCTCTGTGCTCGAAGCTGGAGACCAGGGGAGGTGGGGGCGCCCTGGGCACCCTTGCCCCAGACAGAGCCACTGGGCGGCAGAAGGCAGAGGAGCGCGTGGGACCCGGATGAGGAGAGAGACCCGGCTCTGGCCCCAGTAGCGAAAGGCTACGTTTGCTTGCACAGTGGCCTAGCTCAGCCAGGGCTGGGGCTCCCGCTGGAAAAAGCCCAGCTTGCGGCGTTCCTCAAGGCGAAAAAAGGAAGAATCTGCTTTGGTGCTGAATTGCAGTGATATTTTCATTCATTCATTCACTCACTCACTCACTCACTCATTCATTCGCTTGGTGATGATCACGTCCAAGAATCTGCTTAGCATTGCATTAACATTGAAAGGAAACTGGCTCGTCATTTCTTCTTCCAGGATTGCCAAACGTGTGGCTTCCCGCGGCGGTACTTACCTACGACTTTCAAGGTCGTGGTGACATTCGCCGACCCGAAGGTGTTGTTGGCGTAGCACATGAACACCCCGGAGTCCGCCACTCTCGCCGCGCCGATCGTCAGCGTCTCCTGGCGCTCGTAGTGGAAGTCGCCCTGATGCCAGCTGTGGCGCCTCACCTGGCCGTTTGTCCGCTGGTTCCCAGAGGGGACAAAGAGAATCCAGAATTACCATACCATTAATATTCAGATCTTCCCTAAATTAAAAATAGCAGCAATTAATGTCTCCATATTTGCATTCATTACAGCGACTTAAGGGGGAAATACTAAAGCCACAGGTGTCGCTGGCGCAGTTCCTATCACAGGGCCGTAAGAGAGACAGTCGGTACTAGTGACTGGCGGGGAGCAGATGAAAATTCATTGCTTGACCAGAGTCTGTGTAATTCCGAAGTTGCAGCACTAACTTTCAAGTTCTTATAAGAAACATTATGAGGGGCCGGCACTGTGGTGTAGCGGATAAAGACACTGCCTGTAGTGCCGGCATCCCATATGGGCACTGGTTTGGGTCCCGGGTGCTTCCGATCCAGCCCTCTGCTATGGCCTGGGAAAGCAGCAGAAGATGGCCCAGGTCCCTGGGACCCTGCACCCACGTGGGAGACCCGGAGGAAGCTCCTGGCTTTCGATGATCGGCCCAAGTTCGGCCGTTGCAGCCACCTGGGGAGTGAACCAGTGGATGGAAGACCTCTCTCTCTGCTTCTATGTAACTCTGCCTTTCAAATAAAAATAAATAAATAAATAAATCTTTAAAAAAAGAAAAAACCTTATGGCATCTTACAGTCTAAGAATACTTATAAGTATTTCCTGTGATCTAAAACCATGTGCGTGACGACCGTGCTCTGTGGTATTAGCGGCTGCTTCTGTGGGGATTAGGATGGAATCCGTGTGTCGACAACCACCTCGCAGAGCCACCCCACAGCCCTTACGCAGCAGAATCCCGACAACCCGAGAGCAGTCCCAGAGACTCTGAGACGCGCAGGCCAAGCCTAAAACTACGCAAGCCTGAGCAGAAACGCTGTGGCTCCTCCCTGGTGACACCAGCAGCCCACTGACAAGACACCTATCGTGGGCGGCGGACATCAGGCCTCCGGGCCAAAGGCACGTGTGCACAAGACCACTCCAAGAAGTTTCTAGAAAAATGAAAAGGTCACTTCGGTGCCAAAACACCTGTAACCCAAGAATATGGTTTTTTTTTTTTTTTTTCAAAATATACAATTTTCAGAGACTTTCTGAAGTCCCTTTATATGCATGAATTTCAAAAAAAATTTTTACCAAAATAAGCTCATCTTTGACTTCCACTTCCCACGCACTTTCTGAAGGGCCTTGTACAGCGGTTAGCGAAAAGCAAAACACACACACAAGAGTTGGGGACACAGAACAGGGGAGGGGAGAACAGACAGGCAGCAGGAGGCGCTGTGCAGGCTGGAAGACAGCCGCCTCCTCCTACAGGCAGGCTGCCTGGCTCTGCACAGGGCCGGGGCAGCCGAGACAGCCCAGGCGTCCACACGGGGAGCTGCCCGGGAACTCAGAGCGGGTCAGGGACTGATGGGGCAGTCGGGCCCAAAGACTGCTGGGGGTGATCACCAAAGGCCAGGAGAAAGCCTGGAAGGCCCAACCAAGACCGGCAAGCACTGAATAAAGTCCAAGACGCTGAGGCTTAGAGAAACAAATCCAACAACACTGAAGCCACGTTGCCCTGGGTCTCGCTGGGGGTTAAACTTATTCTAAGTGGTCAGAACCAAATACCATTATGGATCTGGAAAATAATCTGATCGCGCTAACAGCACTCCAAATTAAACCACAGGGTAGCCACACAGATTGGCAGGAGGCCAGGAGCCCATCTGCAAGTCACGCATTGCATATTGTCTGCACGCGGCCTGGCTCTCCTTAACCCTCGGCGGCGCACACTGGGACCTCCCCAAAGAGCCCCCGACTCGGAAGGCGTGTGCGCCAGCGCCCGTGGGTTAATTGGGAACGGCACACAGCACTCCTGGGACAAATGGCTTCAAACAAGGCTGCCTGAGGCAACTGAATTTCTCATCTCAAAAAGGCTAATTTTCAAATTGCACAGAGGCGCGCGCACACACACGCACGGAGTCCAGATTGCCCTCTCATCTGGAATCAAGGCTTGGAGGAAGCCACTTAACGTGGCGTTGCGTCCTGTAAGGGTAGCCAGCAATCTATACCTAAGCTACCGCTGTTATTACATTATCCGCTTTGAGAACTAAACTTCCCACGGGGTTGAAAGGGCGAGGGGAGAACAGAGCCGTTCTCTCTCCACGGCACCAGCAGGCCTCATTAGCGAGACACCATCCATCACAGTCGGCTTGCGCACCCCCGCCGCCGCTCTGCAGGGCACAGGCACCGTGGGCCTGTGTGCAGAGAGCTTTGAACAGGCACGGAGCTGCCGGTGTTGGGGATGGGGGGGGGGGCAGGAAGGAATCACGCGGGTCCTCTGAAAAGCTCAGGGGAGCACCCAAGTGAAGGGTACGTCATCTTGGTGCAAAACTCGTCTGAAGCCCGCGCAGTTCGTTCTCCACCCTACACTTTTCCGTGACGTGCTCGGGGATCCTGCAACCAGGAGGAAGCCTCGGCACAGCCGACGAACCACACGCTCAAGAGGACTTGAAAAAAAAATACTGCGATCTCACTCAACAGGGATTGTAAAGGAGAATGGTAGGAAATCCATCGGCTCAAAGACTCCGCTTGGTATTAACAGGAGAGGGAGGGAAAAAATACCTCTTCAAATACAACTCCTGAAATTTGCTTAAGATACGCCTACCACGTATCTGACAGATAGCAGGCATTCGATGTGCATTTGTTAAATGAATGAGAAGCTACATACGTCCACAGCTTTCAGGGGAAAGATAACCATTATATTAATAGCTGCTAAAACAAACAGAAAACCATTAGCAAGTGAGCCCCAGGTGAGCGGCTCCGAGCAGCGCGGGCAAGACGGGCTGCCCTGACGCACACGCAGGCCGTCTTTCGGCAAAGAGCTTTCTGGTTAACATCGGGGACGCTCTGTTGGCCTTCGATACGGAAGGATCAGCCAGAGCTGCGGGTTTCCAGTTCCCTAGGGAAGGCCTCTGCAGACCCGGGTGCCGCCCCCGCCCCCCGTTCTCAGCTTGACTCCTGGTGGCACGCGGACCCGTCACTGGTAACGAAAGGCCCCGTCTCCACGCGCAGTGCCGCCTCGCCGGTGGGGTCCCGGCCCCGGGGCAGCCCCACACGGCAGAACCCCGGGAGAACAAAGAGGAGGAGCCTCCACTCACCTGGCCGTCCTCCTTCAGCCACGCGGACAGCACGGCGGTGGACACGTCTCTGACCGTGCAGGTCACCGAGAACTCTTCCCCCTCTCTAAGCAGGCAGCTCGTTCTGGACACGGACACCACCGGGACGGCCTTGATGGCTGCGGCGGGAAGAAAGGGGGCCTTCGCACAGCCCGGGCTGGCACAGCAGGCGACGCCAGCATCCCTCTTCCCCAGCGAGCGCGGCTTACCTCATCGTCTTGGAACCCGGCACTGACCTGCGGTCTCCCCGGAAGGCCGGGAAGCCCGCGCCCCCACCCAGCACATTCATCAATATTGCGTGAAAGAGACAGACATGTCCCCTGTGGGACTGTAACACCTCTGGAAAAGGCTTGCTCAAGACAGGAAGAAGGGGCTGGCGCTGGCATAGCGGGTTAAGCTACCGCCTGCGATGCCCGCATCTATTTGAGCCCTAGTTCGAGTCCCGGCTGCTCGACTTCGATCCAGCTCTCTGATAATGTGCCTGGGAAAGCAGCAGAGGACGGCCCATGTCCTTGGGCCCCTGCATCCACGTGGGAGGCCCGGCTGAAACTCCTGGCTCCGGCTGGGCCCAGCCCTGGCTGCTGCAGCCACCTGGGGGGCGGTGAACCAGAGGGTAGAAGATCGCCCTGTCTCTTCCCCTCTGCACCACCCAACTCCGTGAAATGGTGTGAATTTGCTGATGGCTTCTTGAGCATGTGGCCTCTAATGGATTATATTCTCTTATCCACACAGACCTCTCTCGTACACAGAGAAGTAACACCTCGCTTCTTCCTGAACACCCCAGGTTTTAAACAAGCAAATTCCCTTCATTTCAATGAGGGCATCTTTCCAAAAGCCTTAATTAAAAAAAAAAAAAAGGAAGAAAAAAAAAAGAAAAAAAACCTACTGAACAGCTGGTGTTGAATCACATGGCCTCTGAGATACAGAGACCTGGATTATCCCAGCCACCAAAACACTCTGCAGGATGCCACATGATGACAAGTTCACGGTCAGCTTGCACGTTCCTCCCCAGGCCTCGCGCGGTCCCAGGATGCATTGCAGTCAACCAGCGGGAGAGAGTGCAATAGCCAATCAAAACGAACAACTCAGCTTTGCCAACAGTGTGGTGGGAGCTGTCCAGGGGGTCTCTGGGAAGCAGCACTTGATGCAGGCACAGCCGGTAATGACCGTGCCCAGCCCGGATGCCGGTCCATGGCAGACGCACCTGCCTCGGCTAGAGGTGGCCGTGGTCCAGGGGTGCGGGGCTGGGCCTCTCCAACAGAGGCTCCACCAGCACCGGTGCTCCCGCGAGGCTGGGGAACAGCCCACGGGGAGGGGCCAGCGCCCGCGGGCCGACCCTCAGGGAGAGGAAGGAGGGAAGGGGGCCCACCTGCTCTCACTTTCAGGATGAATTTTTCCGACTGCACGGTTGTGCCCTCGCGGTCGGCGGCGCAGCGCAGGCACAGCCGGTGGTAGGCGCGCCTCACGTTCTTGATGGTGATGCCGGCCTTGGGGTCCGGGACGAAGGTCAAGTCCTTGGGGAGAGGCTTCCCCTCGCACTCCTTGAGGGTGTAGTTGGTCACGTCCGGGTCGGTCAGCGGACAGCGGACCAGCGTGTCACTGTCTTCTCGGCCGTACAGGGGCAGGCCCACGAGGAACAGCTGCCGCGGATCTACAAACACATTGGGCGTCAGTGGTTTGCGTGGCTGTGCCGACACGGCAGGCAGCGTGACAGCCAGAACTGGAGCACATGCAAACGGGACTGGCGAGAAAGAGTTAACACGCCTAAGACACTTTCCACGAGCCGGGCACTAAGCCTGAGCCACCACCCATTTTTTTATCTTATTTAATCTTCCATAGGCCCCTGTGTGATGGGTGCTGCCGGCCGAGAATCTCCGACGGAAACACTTGGGACCAGAAGTGTTTCATAGTTCAGAGACGTTAGCATTTTGGGATATTTGCATAAACTTTCCTGGCTGAGCAAGCCTAATCCAAAAATCTGAAAGCTACAGGGCCGGCGTTACAGTGCAAGGGTTAAGTTAAGCCACTGCCTGGGACGCCGGCATCCCATAGGAGTGGCAGGTAGAGTCTGATCCAGCTCCCGGCTAATCCCGTGCCCCAGGTGGGAGACCCAGTGCAAGCTCCTGGCTTTGGACCGGCATAGCCCCAGCTGTTGGGGCCGTGTGGGAAGTGACCCAGCGAATGGTGTGTGTGTGTGTGCATGTGTGTCTCTGCCTCTCACTATAACCCTGACTTTCAAATACATTAATTAACCTTATAAAAATAAAAGACCCCCAGAGCATCTGAAGATAGCAAAGCTGTTTCTCCATAAGAGGTGACAGCACAGGAGTGGCTGCAGAGGGGTAACAACCGGCGTGACAGTGACAGCTGCTGTCGGGGAGGAGCCCCGGAACCCAGTGCAAGCAGCGCGCGAGCCCCTCTCTGCATGTCCTCCTGGGCCCCGTGTGGGCAGGGCTTCCGCAAACCCCGTCGCTGCAGACCAAGGGGAGGGGGCTCATTGGTGTCAGGAATGAACCCAGGACAAACGCTTTCTCGTCCAAGCCGGGACTCCCGTGAGAACTCGGGGAGGCCCCGGCTCAGTGGCACAGCACAGCCCGAGCAGAGCTAAATAGTATCTCGTCGGCGTCCGTCTCTGGCCCACTGGCCACTCAGGCAGGACAGGACTCCTGGACGTCACGGCCAGCTTGCAGGTCACAGGGCGTGCACACGTCTGTCACTTGGTGAGGACGACGGAGCAGTGAGCTCACCCGGGCACTGCAGGGGGCGGCTAAGGGCTCCCACCGAGGACAGTCACCCCCATCACTTGTGCAGGACCCCTGGCTAATAAGGCCTCTCGCCTCGGGCCTGTTTCAGTGTCAGCTGCGATCCACACCCACTCAGGACGAGAAGTCATCTCCCAAGCCGTCAGCCACCAGAAGACACGCCCCTTCTGGCAAACCTGGTCTCTACAAAGATTTGCAAAGAGCAAACACGGGCGGGCGAATTAGCCACAGGAAGCGAGGCACAGACATCCACCTGCCCTGTGTCTTTCTCTTTTGTTGCCAAGAGGTCACAATTTTTTAAGTGAATCAACTTTAGGGGGCCAAGGGACTGAGCAGATTAGCAGGAAGAGGCTCACAGCCCCCGTGGCCCCCAGCCCCAGAGCCAGTGCCAGCCAAAGACGGGACAGAGAGAGGCCTCTGTCTCGGGCATCTCGACCCAGCGAGCGGGCGACACTCCATCGCTCCGGCATCTGCGTGTCAAGATCAAGGGCAGCGTCACGGAAAGCCGGGCACTCACCTCTCACGAACACGTAGATGGAGCTGCTCAGGCCGCCCGCGTTGGTGCAGGTGTACCTGCCCGTGTTGGCGGCCTCCGCCTCCTCGCGCGTCCATTGGCTGTGCTCGCTGTCACTCAGCTGACCCAGGCTCTCGAAAGTCCACCTGACGGAGCCCGGGTCGATGCACTCCAGCGAGAACCTGCTGCCGGCATCCACGGTCAGCTCCGGCTGTGCTGGCTGGATGACGGGGGGAGCCGGCTGCCCTGGGCTCGCAGATGGCTGCGAAGAGCCTGCCAAGAAAAACCAAGATCTCGTTGAGTGCGAGCTGCTTCTTTGGCGGAAAAAAAGCATTTCTTCCAACGCAGCCCCATCTTCTGTGTGCGCTACAATAAAAATAGGACAAGGCTGTCCTGCTATTTAGGGCTGGAAAGAGAGCTCCGTCCAAAGTTTGCTAAGATCATCTCGAAAATCGGGCTATTTTCGGCAACTCGCAATTCTGCTGGGAGTCACACTTGGGGTCCAGGGAAGGGCTAGCTGGATGCCACGGCTCCCCTCGGGTTAAACGCACGGCCGGGCGGCTGCCCTTGGGAATACCGGCTGTTGCCGTGGCCCTGACACGCCGCCATCCAGCTCAGGAAGCACGAAAACAAAAATCTCACACCACGAGGGAGAAGAAACAGCTAAGCCACTGGCCCGCCCCTCTCGGCGGGGTGCCCGTGATCGTGACACTCTTGGTTTTTTTCTGAAGGCTCTGTGCATCCAGTTGCTTCCACAGAGCTCTCCTTACATGGTAGTGCTTGCTCATTGACACAACTAGCCACGAACCTACACGGTAAGGCAGAAACGCAATCCCTGTTTCAAAGAGGAGACCGTGAGATGCTCTGTGGCACGAGTCATGAGATGCAAGCTTCAGACAGCGACCACGAAACCTGGACCTCAGAAAACTCACACCAGCAGATTCGCGCATCCTCCAATCCGTCTGTGAATTACAACCCGCAGGAGTTGTCACTGTGACCTCACCACGGGGAGAAAACCAGAGGCTGACGCGCAGCCAACCCGCGCAGAAGAGGAGCCCTCCACGGAGCTGGGGAGAAGGGGCAGGGGGCGGCCAGGAGCAGTGGGACGAAGGCACAAGGGCGAGGCACACTGGGCCTTGCTGAGCCGGGGCAGGGGCAGGGGCGGGAGCGGAAGGGACGCCCCAGCAGCGGGCTGCTTCCAGTGGGAAACCCCGGTCCTGGCGCAGGACGGTGGTGGCATCGTGCAGGAGCCCAAGGTCGGGCAAGACCACAGCAGGTGCACTGGGGCTGCCCGGGAGTCCATGGGTGCCATTTCAGTCCAGTGGGAATCTGTCCACGCCAAGGTTAAATGGTCAGGCCCCAAGCATAGACTTCTAGGGCCGTGGAAAACCAGAAAACAAACATGTAGTGCGTGGGAGACCTGTCCGCGCGCACACAGAAGGAAGCCCCCGCCAACCGACGGGGCCGGAGCCAAAACTGTCTTCCCACTTCCTGTTTGCCGCCCGGATAAACACTTCCCCGGAGGCACCAACGGCACAGCTCGGATCAAAAGGCGCCAGCAGCCCTGATGTGCAGGAGATAAGAGCCAGGCCAATTATAACCATTACAGCGTAGTGCGCACCGAGCGCAGAGGGGTCCGGTGGAGGGGACTCCCTGCACCCCAGGTCTCCAGCCACACCCCAGGCGGGGGACGCAGATTAGGTGGAGGCACTACTGTTTCAGTTACTGGTCCTTTAAAAAAAAAAAAAAGGAGTGGGGGGCTGGCGCGGTGGCATAGCAGGTAAAGCCAGTCTGTGCGGGTGCCACTTTGTGCCCTGGCTGCTCACTTCCGAGCCGGCTCCCTGCTGGTGCGCCTGGCGTGGGTCCCTGCCACCTGCATGGGAGACCGGGACAGAGCTCTGGCTGTGGCAGCTATCTGGGGGAGTGAACCAGCAGGGGGAAGATCTGCCTCTCCCTCTCAGTAACTATTTCAAATAAATTTAAAAAAAATACTAGTAGTTCCATGTGGAGAGACATACTGTTGACAGTAAACGCAGCCCAGAAATTCTTCCAGGGTTTGGACTGGAGTGTGTCTCACTCAGTTCAGCCTTCTCATGAGTTGATCTGGAGGACAGATAGATAGCTACTACAATGCAGGGACTCGCCGAGGCCCGGCCCCGGGGACGCCCTGGGTCCCGGCTCCCACACCTGGAAGATGACAACCCACAGCACCCTCCTCTCACCGAGTTCTCGGGAGAGAAAACTCCGGGGTGGCAACTGGTGCAGGAGCGGTGAGACTGGTGAGCTGTGGACAAACGCCGGCTCAACGGGGGAGCACTTCTGCACGCCGGGCCAGAGCTCGGCCCTCCATTAACGCTGCCTGGCTCTGTCCCCAGCTGGGCCGCCCGGGCAAGTCGCTCCCCAGGGCCGCCTCGGGGTCACCATCCGGAAAGTGGGGGCAGTTACGGCCCCTGTTTTTAAGACATGTAGATGGTATAGATGGTATAGATCTACACATATATAGAAAGGCAGAGAGAGAGAGAGGTCTTCCATCTGCAGGTTCACCTAGCAGGCGGCGCTGGGCTGGGCCAGGCTGAAGCCAGGAGCCTGGGACCCCATCCATGTCTCCCACGTGGGTGCACTTGGGCCACGCTCTGCTGCTTTCCCAGGCGCATTAGCAGGGAGCTGGGTCGGAAGTGGAGCAGCCGGGATTTGAACCGGCGCCAATGGCACCTCGCTGTGCCTGCACACAGACCTTCCTGGGAATAGAGAAATACTCAACACCTGTCAGGTGCGCTGATGAGGGCACTTCAAAAAAAAAAGTGTGACAAATGTTGTTAGAAGGTGTTTGCTTTGTTGCAAAAGACGTAAAAGCCAAGCACACAAGGGGTCTTTCTAACCTTCCAGGGCCATGGGTGTTGTGAAAAACCCTGCATGGATTTCAAATAAACTTATCTTCCAAGCCCACCGTGCAGGGACTTTGTGAAGTGCCCCACGCTCCACAAACAGACCCGCTTATCACTGCTGCCAGTCAGCCACACTCACCACTTCCCACTGTGAGAGGGGCTCTGCCCGCCTCCCCCTCCCCACGGGGGCCTCCACGCTGCAGGCCCCAGCCCAGCCCCTGCACGGAGAGTGGCCTTGAAGTCGTTTCATTTACTTCTTTACTTGGAAGTCAGAGAGTTCTCCCACCTTCAGGTTCACTCCTCAAAATGCCCACAACGGCCACCAAACGGCCACGCACAGCCACGTTTTCCCAGCATTCATCTCCAGATGCTTCCCTGTCTCTCTGGTGGTCACCCGTGCCACGCCCATCTCTGCCCAGGACCCCTCTCCTGTGGTCCCTGCGGGCGCCGGGCCGTGCAGCCTGTCCTCGTTAACTCCCACCCTCGCGGCCAGTGTGGCCTGTCCTGACCCCCCACCCTGTGCTGTATGTGTCTCTCCCCAGCCACATCCACGCCCAGTCCCACGGCGCCCAGGTAAGGGGCAGGGGGCCTTCCCAACCCCAGGTGGTTCATATACAATCCGCCTCTAGAGTTTCAAAACACGCTCTTAAACATATCACCACTTGGCTTTTATTTTCAAAACAAATGATTTGCAAGCTCAGCTCTCAAACTCCTACTACGAAATGAAAATAGCACCTTGATGGGGCGGACGGTGGATAGTGGATATTCCCTTTATTACAAGCTATCTGCGATGTGGCTAGAATGGTCTCACAATAGAGGAGAGAGAGAGAGAGAGACTGACTCATGCTAAAAAAAAAAAAAAGAGATTCATCTTAAAGGAGCAACTCTCAATAAGGTATTCCAGCTGAGCTTTGAAATTGCTCTCAAATTGCACACGCCGAAATGTGTCTGGCAAACAGCGCGCTCGCGCCGGCTCTGCTCAAGTGTTTTACGCACATCAGGACTTTGTGCATTCGCAAATGCACTTCCCTAATTACGCGTGGCCAGGGCTAATATTACGGCTAATATGTTTTCTGTTCCCTGGATGCATGTTAATAATGAGCCCCCAAAAAAACAACAACAACAAAAAAGAGATGGCAAAACCCACGGCTCTGGGGCCCAGCTCCTGTAATGAGCTCTGGGGCGGGGCTCCCCAGGAACCTGTCAGTCACCAGCGATCCCAGTGCCCTGCAGGTGCTGGCCCTAAGAGAGCCCCTTGCTTTCCAAGTGCAGGGATGAATGAAGGGGGCCCTTACGGGCAGTCAGCAGCACAGAAGTCAAGGCGAGAAATGTCCCCGTCTCGGCTTACAGCTCCCGGGTACTCACGGCCGCGGCCCACGCCCCCTCCCCCAGTACAGACCTCGCCCTGCCCCCCGCAGGTGCCCTCAGATCCCCAGCACCCCCACAGCAGCTCCAAGGTGGCAACAGCGCGGGTGTCGACCCTGGGTGCACACGCACGGCGTGGCAGGCACGTGCCGCGGAACATTCCAGAGACAGGAAGGAAGGGAAGTCCGACAGCAGCACGGGGAACCCGGTGCACCCGGACAGCGCCGTGCTGAGCCCAGCGAGCCAGGCACAAAGGCACGCTGTAGGACGTCGCTCGCCCGGGGGCCTGGTGGGGGCTCGCCCACGGAGGGAGCGGACCGGGCAGGGGAGGGCGGACGGATGAGCGGTTTCTGCTTGGGGGAGAAACAGCATGGAAGTGGGTAACAGAGGCGGCCGCGTATCTGTGAAATTAATGGCACCGAATTGGACCTTGAAGTGGTACCCACCTTGGGCAGGGAGGGGGGCCTAGTGGTGAGTGCGCCTGTGCCCCTGATGAGAGAGCCCGGGCTCAGTCACCAGTTCTGCGCTGACCCCAGCTTCCGGTCAGTGCAGGCCCTGGAGGGGCAGCAGGGGACGGCCGCAGGGACTGGAGCTCCTGCCACGCACGCGGGAGACCTGGACGGAGTCCCCCACTCGTGGCTTCGGCTCTGGCTGGGGGCTGGGGAGTGAACCAGCAGATGGGAGCTCTCTCTCTCTAATAAACCCATTTTTTTTTTAAAGCGTACGTTTCACGTCATGTCCACTTTACAGTTAAAAAAGAGAAAACAAAATTTCAGCAATTCCTCCAGGCCCAGCTAACGCCCAGTTCTTTCCCCAGCTGGGAGTTCCTCCGACGTTGTCAATCACGGTGTCTAATCAGAGGCTCCGCCCAGCTGTGCTGAGGGCGTGTCCCGTCCCCCACACCGCCAAGTGCCCACAGTAGATGCTGATCGGGGCGGAATGGTCTAGAAGCTCTGCTTTAACCACACCGGCCGCGGCCCAGGCACGTCCGCGGCCCCTGGTCAGCAGGTGCTACTCCCTAGCTTACCCTTGCTCTCCCGCCCCCTCGCTCGAGTCATCTGGTTTTGCGCCCACCCCTGCGCACGGGAGCCGCACCTGACATTGCGTTATGGACTCCTATAGGTCAACGTGAAGTCCACGTTATGAAAACGATGACAAATGAGTGTGTCACGTGGCCGAGAGCTGTGGGTGCGCTGTAACTCAGACAGACTGAGGGTGGCTCGGCCACAAGTCTCCCGTGGACTGAGGGCTGGCGAAACCCTGGGAGGGGCAGAGGGGCCTCCATGTACAAGCTCTTGGGGGACCTCTGTATTCAGACTTCGGCAGGTGCAAAATCCGAAACCGAAGTGGCAGATCTTGTATTTGGGG